CACTAATTCCATCATTTATTGGCTCCACGGCATAGTCACTCAGCATCCTGTAACACAATAACACAACAGATCAGTCATAACATTAAAAAAAGGTCAGGATCCACGAATTTGATTTCATTTGAGATTGTAGTAGAAAAAACCAGAAAAAAGAAGGCCTTGTTTGGCTTGATTTTGGGAGATAAATTTTCAAAAATATTTTCGGAGAAAGAGTTTAGAAATTTTTTGGTTTGTTTGGTTGTATATTTTGGAAATAGTTTGAGTATGGGCATTTAGGATGATTTGATATTTTGTTGTAGTTGAGTAGATGTGTGTGAGAAAAAAAGTAATTGAAAAGGAGAAAAAAAAGAGAAAAAGTGATTTATTGATGTATAGGAGATAGAAAATGGTTTTGAAATTTTTTTTTCCAAAATCACTAAACCAAACAAAATTTTGAAAAATTTAAAATTTGTTTCTCAAAACCAAACCAAACAAGGCCGAAGTATTCAAATTTCCAAAAAGCAAACTGAAAAGCCAAAGTGTATATGAAGCCAATATACTACTAGCTATAACTATAGAATTCTGGACATCTGAAACAGAGATGTACATAGGATTTTTGTTTTGTATATGAAGCGGAAGACTTGTTACATTTATTTATAACTATAGCATAAATTATGTCAGCAAAGTAGAAAAGTGAAAAACAAATCAGTATGCAGTAACTTCAGAGAAGAAATCAACATAAATATCACTAATCTTATAAGTCGTAGAATGCTTGACACCAAAAGGGCCCATCTATGGCAGGATATAGCTCTGAAATTCACTTCTAGAAAAGCCTTCATCATCCCCAACTTCGTTTCCTAGTGCCTAGATTGAGACCATTATCCATTTATATAAATATGGTCCTTACTATAACTCATATAACCAATTGTTATACAAGTCCAAAAATGAATATGCACTAAAAATACATCATTTTTCGTATAAAATATTTTTTGTGAACTGATTCATATCTGTCTTACAAGTGAAAACAATTATTAGTGTTTCCACTGAAAATTCTTAGCATATAAATTCTCTGCAAGAGTTTCGCTCCTAACAGAAGAATTAATCATCAGTACCAATTCAAATTCTAGAACTACTTTCAAAATAAAAGAATTTAAGTTTTGGGAACCTATTCTATCATTCAATTAACAAACATATCTCAATCCTTTAGAGCCAACTGTTTGTGATAATTCTCTTTCCAGTCAAATTCCACTGGAACTAGGAAACCTTAGGAATTTGCAGTATATAGACTTTGGGAATACTGAAGCATACCTGGCATATACAACTGCGCTACTTTGTTAGAACTCAGCCTCATCCTTAACAATCTCACCGGTACAATCCAGTCAAACATCGGTGATTTAGTCAATATTCACCGTTCTGCCACCAGCGACCAAATTCCCACCCACCCTCTCTCTCTCTCTCATTGTAAAAGAATCAAAACTACTCGAGCTTAACTCATGTTCAACTCGTTAATTTTTCAATTCGAGCTTGAATAAGATACTACTTGGCTCAATAAGATTAAATGCATAATAATAATAATAATACCAAACTATTATGGTTCAATTAAAGTTCAATTGCGATCGACTCAAAAGGAAAAAAAATCAAGGTTGAACACATTTTGAAGCACGTTTACAGCCATATCTCTTGCCCCTCAAACAGAGGAGCAAAAGAAATCATAAACCAAGAAAACAGTGCCTCAAATCATTAATGAATGTATCCTCACATCTTGCAACCAGAATCCGAAACAAATAAACCAATACAGGCTCATGAGACAAACAAACAGATAGATAGATAAAGGTGTTTTTATATTCTCATGTATGGAGAGAGAGAGAGAGAGAGAGAGAGAGAGAGAGAGACCATCCAAGTAGTAAAATGAAGCAAACACTAAACTATTAACCTTTTCAAGTTAAGACTACTACAACTTTTTGTATCCATAGTTAAATAGAAGACCATAATTAGTATAATACCTGTACATAGGAAGTCTAAGGTAGTAAACTTGTCTCACATAAAAAAAAAAAAAAGAAAAAGTCTTGCAATGGGTGCATAAGGAAAAATCCTCAGAAATGGTTCCTGCCAAATAATAGGTGAAGCGACATTTCTCTACAACTACTCTTATATTTCCACAGAATATTACACATTTGACCACCAAGTTGGTCATCCAAATTTACAAAAATAAAAAATAAAAATCCAAACGGGTAAACATCACACACGGTTCTACAAAATATGTCAAAGATAAACAACAAATAATCTTGTCCTACCATTCTAGTTGCTTGCATTTAAGGCATGTAACATCAACTTATGCAATCCTAAAAAATTTACAAATAAAAGTTTAATCATCAAATGTTAGTTTCAAGAAGCAAGTATTGTATTATTGATCGAAATAGTACTTCAAAAATGTGTGTGTGGGTGTGTGGTGTGTGTGTGTGTGTGAGAGAGAGAGAGAGAGAGAGAGAGAGAGAGAGTATACATACACATGTCAAAAATTAAAATGCATTAATAATTAAAAAATGCGTTATTTCTATTTCTGACGAGAAAGACCTTAAGCAAGCTATTTTTCGTAGAGGATAAAATCATGCACTTCTTAATTCAAGAAATGAAGTTCCACGAAATATCTCATTCATATCCCCTACAAAAAAATATTAACTAAACTCTCAAAAGAAAAACAAAATGAAAAATGCCAATTCAAAAACAATCAAAGAGCAATATCTCTAACTAAGCAACATTATACACCACTAAAAAAAACAGACTATATAGTACAATTGCACATATATGTTTCATCCAACTGCATTGAAATGTACCTCTCTATTTGTTCCTCAACAATAACCTTGTCCCCAAAATGTTTGAACTGCAACAATATTATACAAATCACCATAAACAATAGAGTGAGCAACAAACTTGTCATTAGAATGCATTGTTACTAAATTGATCTCCATAGGGCATTTTTCTATCCTTTTAACTTGTTTTCACTCCAATTCAATTTGCAATGGTGAATATAACAAATTCTTCTCAATAACAATCCAATACCTCAAATTCACCAAACGCCTAGTCTATCCAAAATCTACTCCATAGGCGCCGAAAAATCCTATAGCAAATCGGCCTATTAGAATCGATTCGACAAGATGTTCTATAAAACAGTTGATTCTTGCATGCTTGGTTTTTAGATTATATATCTGTATATATATATATGCAATGTGAGCAACAAGAACAGAACTTCAGAGAGATCGAGCACTACAGGAAATTATGGATTTAGCGACGTTTAATTAACGGCGTTTTTTTAAACGTCACATTTTCTGATAATTAACGACGTTTTATAAACGTCGCCTTTTGTGTTAATTAAAACGGTCCCGTTTCTGAATAGAGGTCGTTTGATAGCGCCTCAAAATCCTTATTTCCAAACCCTCTCTCTGTCTCTCTTCACACCCCTATTTCCAAACCCTACACAAAGTCGATCTATTCTCACAACTCCAAGGTGACTCTCTCTCTCTCTCTCTCTCTCTCTCTCTCTCTCTCTCTCTAAACCCTAATTTCAGTCTCAGAGGATTGAATCAATACGAAGTTCTCTCTCTCGATTCCTCTTCAGCATGGTGATTCCTCTTAGTGATTCATCTCAGAGCGATTGCGATTTTGATTTTGAAGTTCTCTCTCTCTCGCTATTGTGAGCACCACCTTATACAATCTTAGAAAAATCGATCGAATCCTTCAAAACCTTCTTCAGCTCGGTGATTCCAGTTGTGGTGTTCGTCTTTGTGGATTTGGAGCTCTTCGTCTTCTTCGATCAGTGAGATCAGAGGTTAGTTGAGCTCAAATTTTAGGAACATTTGAAACTTGTTTCTTTCTTAGATGTTTCTTCTGTGCTTTGTTTGTGAATATTTATTTGTGAATCTCTCTTTGCTCATCTTCTTCCCGTTGGTTTGTGAAGATTTAGTGGGTATATAATTAATGTTTCTTCTGTGCTCTGTTTGTGAATAGCTGTTTGTTATTTTGCTTAAATTGTGTGGATTTCGTACCAAAGTGTTGTTTCATGGATGCAATGATAGACTAGTTAGACTTGTAGTGATATTCATTAATAATGAAATTTGTAAATCTAAATATAGTTTTTTACTCATTGAAATTGGTTTAAGTTTCTTCATAATAGATTTAGGATTTGTTGAAGTGACAAAAAAGGAAATGGAGTGAAATTACATGTATTTGATCATTTTTTAGGAGTACCTAAAAACTATTGAATATGTTAAAGAACCATAATCTGAAGAAAAATATTTTCAAATATGAAATTTTATTAAAAAAAAGGAAAAAAAAAAAAAAAGAAAGAACAGAAGAGCCTATGTCTTACTATTGAGCTGCTTCCAAATGGTGAGAATGAGAGAAATTAATGACCTACTTTGCTTTTAGTCTCATTCTTCTTTTGCTGGTTAGTTCTTAGTCAAGAGAAAATAATAATAATAATAATAATAATAATAATAATAATAATAATAATAATAATAATAATAATAATAATAATAAAAGGAATAATAAGGGTTACCAGTCTACTGGTTACCAAATGCCAAATAACTTAATTTAATTTGGGTTCTCGCCTACATATACAGAGAATGCTTATATACAAAGAATTCATCATGGTTTAGTAGTTGTCTGCAACACATGTGTGTGGTCCAATTATCAGTTGTCATGGTGTTTTAAATATTGAAAATGCTCAGTTTTGATGCTTTTAATTTTAGTGCATATACAACCAAAACATAAAAATTAATTTAGTTGATTGTCTTATTTGGATGCTCTAGGATCTTGATTAACCCAGTATGGCTTTTTTTTGTTTTTTTGTTTTTGTTTTTGGACTTTGTTGTCTTATTTGGATACTCTACTAAGGATCTTAAAGCTTGTCCAATTTTATCATGGAAGTTGAGAAATTTCCCTATTTTCAGTTGCAAAACAGCATATGAACTTCACTTGTCAGATTTTCAGATATATTGATTTTTTTTTAAAAAAAAAAATTTTTTTTTGTGCATTTTTCTTTCCCAAATTAGGTTGTCATTGTGTTATTCATGTTTTTTTTGTAGTTTTAGAAATCATGCTTTGGGGGATAGGTACTTCTCAAATACAACTTTTTTAGGAATGTTTAAGTTGTCCTTAACAATTATGTGCATCAATAGTTTATATAATGGTAGTTCATTAATTTCACGTGTTAAAGGACTGCTTGTTTGGTTACTGGTTATGTAAATTCCCAATCTTGGTAACAATTATTTGAGTCATTCGAGTAGCTTAGTAAGTTATATTCATTGGAAATGACTATTTTTAGAAGTCTAACTATTATATAGTTTCAATTTTGGTATGGTACATGCAATAGTTTATATAATGATCCTTGGCTTGCTCGTCATGGTTTTCTTGTTAGTTTGCTCATCAAAACTTTAATCTTTAGCGGTTGATTTAATCCTTTCTAGGAGACCTTTTTGTTGGAGAATATATGGAAATTATGTAATGCAGTTTTATGTTTGCATGGATTTAGATTCTTAGATTCTTTCATAGAATATTGATCTCTTTGTTTGGGTTTTACTACTGCAACCAAGTCTCTCTCTGCTTCAAGGTATATCTCTTTTCATTCTTCTTCACTCACAATAGTATATATATATTGGGAGTGAATGGGCCAATTGATATTTGCTGACTAAAATTTCATCAACCCTTAAATATTCCCTTAAATTTTCAGCTTTAGGTAATGCAGTTACCCTCAAGAAGCTCATCAGGAAGGGGATTCCACCGGTTTTACGGCCTAAGGTCTGGTTTTCGCAGCTGGTGATTTATTTATCTGTCATACATTATTTTTCGTATTTATTCTAGACGTAATTTCCTTCTCGATAAGTTTATTGTGTGTTTTCACACACTATTTCGTCTAAGTGGTCTCTAATTTAATGCTGAAATTATCATTACATTCATAATCATTGAGTAGCATAACATAAACAAAACATTCATAGGTTTAATGAGGATGGCAATAAGAAATTAGTACAAATAAAAAAAAAATATTAAAATGTGCCATTTGTTTATTTATTCAATCAAAAAGGTAATGGGTCTAACACCACTGTTGCAACAATGGTGGCAAGAGCTCTACAAAACAACACTAATCAAACCCTTTGTCTTCCCTCTCCTCCTCTCCTCCCTCCTCCAAGAAGAAGAAGAAGCAGATCGAAGGCAAGAGTGATCGCGAGCATAGTTGTCAAATCGGGATTCGTATCGTGAATCGAAATGATCTCATACCAAATCGCGAATCGAATCAAATCGTGAATCGTAAAGATTCAGTCACTTTTTTTAAATCACTTAAAAACATATATCTACACATTTAGATGTTAAATGTATCTTATGAATATAAAACATTTAAACTTAAATCAACAAAAATGTTATTTTGAATGATAATCACGTAATTTAATAGGTAAGAAGTTAACAAAGGTTTCTATGTAAAATCATCATCTTACCTTTTCTTTTTCTTTTTTTTTTTAGATTTTTTTTTCAACCATTCTTAATAAAGGTAATAACCAAATAGAAACTATTAATTTCTAAAGTAACAATAGTTAACAACGATATTGATATTTGGACAATAAGCATATATACTTTTCTAAGTAAGAGTGAGCAAATAATAAGAAAGAATTATTTAGGATATTTTATTTTAAAGCCTAAAATATTTTAGCAGGTATAACTGACCTCACACATGTAGTATTCAATTTAATAAAATAGTAATAGATAATTCATAGTGTAACTCTAATCTTAAACATCTTTAGAAGATATATTACAATTTTTTGAAGGGGACAAAAATGAGAAGAAACGTTAAAAATATGTTAAGTTTGACTGAATCTGATTGGATCCTATAAAAAACTCCATGATCACTAAAATAATAAAAAATCATATATATATGTTGGTTATTTTGGTAATAAATACTATTAGAAGTTGTATTATGTCATTTTCACTAAAAAGATGGAAAAAAATTAGTCGAAAATATGTTGAACACAATAATTTCAAAAATTGCATGAATCGTAAAAAGTGAATCGAATCGTGAATCGATTGTGAATCGTGCGATTCACTAGAGATTCATTTCCAAAATAGATTCACTCATAGATTCGTATCAATTTTGCAAAAATTGTGTATCGAATCGTGAATCGAATCGCGAATCGTAAGATTCTGATAACAGAGTGAGTAACCAACAAAATAGGGAACTCAAAAATAGGAAATTAAAAATTCTAGATTTAAATAATAATCCTAGTCAAAAATAAAAATATTTAGATGCTAAATTTAAGCCTACATCATCCTACCCAACTTGAATAAACTCGTCCTTGAGTTTTCATTACTCGAAATAATTTGAAACACGTGCACTTGTCGGCATCGATCTTGTATTTAAGATTGATTTTCTTGAACTTAAATTTCCCATGAGATTCTTTCAAAATTAAAGGAAGACTATCATAAACCTTGCAATTATTTTCTCATAGGGGTTTACGGCAGAGTGATCCTTTGTCTCCTTTATTGTTTGTTTTAATTATGGAGGCTTTGGAGTGCTTGTTATCTACTGCAGTTTGGAGGGGTCTTTTGGTAGGTTTTGAGGTGGGTATGGAGCGGACTACTAGATTAGTGGTGTCTCACTTGTTTTATGCGGATGATGCTCTTATTTTTTGTGGCGCGGAGGAGAGGCAGGTTGGTTATTTAAGGTGTGTTCTTCTCTGTTTTGAGGCGGTCTTGGGACTTCGAGTGAATCTGGGGAAGTTAGAGTTGATTCCGGTTGGGTCCGTGCCACGTATTTCCATATTGGCTGCAATTTTGGGTTGTAAGATAGTGGTCTTACCCATAACTTATTTGGGGTTACCTTTGGGGGCTTCTTTCAAGGCTCCAAGGGTGTGGGATGAGGTGGTGGATAGGGTGCAGCGTCGTTTGGCAGGGTGGAAGCGGCAATATCTTTCGAAAATGGGACGTGTTACTTTGATCAAGAGTGTCCTTTCGAGTATCCCGACTTATTTCATGTCAGTACATGTTATTCCTGTACGTAACGGTTTTGGCGGTTACCGCCACCCGTTACGGCCGCTTTTGCAGTGTGAATGAGATTCACAGGTGTGTCGGTCGTAGCGGCTACCGTAGCGGTCGTAATGGTGTCGTAACAGCCGTAACGGCCTGTTACGCACCGTTACGTAACGGTTCCAAACTGTTTCTTTCAAAAAAACACACAAAAAAAAGCTGAAAATGGGGGAAAAGGGATGGAGAGAAGAGGGAAGATAAAGAGAGAAAATGGAGGAGCAAGAGATAGAGAGAGAGAAAAGGGAAGATGAAGAACATGTTATTGATTTGTTGAAACTGTAAGACCTATGCTATTCTATTCAGCTGCTATCACTAAACCATTTTGTTTGTGTGTGTCTATCTATGTATTGTTTGAAAATAATAATAATAATAATAATAAGTGTGGTCATTATCTATTTGGCTTGGTAAAAATACGTATATATATATTTAGACTCTTATTTATTCTCTTACTTTTGTCATTATTTATCTTATATATAATAGTTAGTGATTGATTTTTTGTATAATATAAAGTCATTAATTATTAAATAAAATGTAAAAAACTCAGTTTATAGTGATTTAAGAATATGAAATATATTGAATGATATTTAAAAATTTACAAAAATTGATCAATATTTATTTTTAACCCAATAAATATGATCATGGAAAAAAAATATGCATATCGGTAAGTTTTTTTCAAATTGTGCGAAAAATAAAAAAATTCACGATTCCGGTTACCGCAACCGTTACACTACGGCCTTTACACCCCGCAACCGCAACCGCGTCACCGCCACCGTTACGGCGACCGCAACCGTTTTTCAGAACCTTGCACCTAGGCTACCGATTATCGGACACCTTCACTTACTAGGGAACCTCCCTCACCGGTCTCTCCATGCTCTCTCCGAAAAATATGGCCCTATGTTATTGCTATACTTGGGTGGTGCTCCAACTCTGGTTGTCAACTCTGCAAAGATAGCAAAAGAAATCATGAAGACTCATGACATTGCTTTTGCAAACAGAGTCCAAACAAGGGCTGCTGATGCATTAATGTATGGATGCACTAGTCTAGGGTTTGCTCCGTACGGTGAGTATTGGAGACAAATGAGGAGAATCTGTGTTTTGGAGCTTCTGAGCATCAAAAGGGTGCAATCATTCCATTTTGTTAGAGAAGAAGAAGTTGCGATGATGATTGAGAAGATACGGAACAACACGAGCCTTGATGGAGGAGCTAATTTTGTCAACCTTGGAGATATGTTGGTTGATACCATGACTAGCATAATATCCAGATGTATTCTTGGGAAGAAGTATGGAGAGGATAATAAGAAGAGATTCGGACAGTTGGCGAGAAACGGAATGGAGCTCTTGATTGAGTTTTCCTTCCAAGATTTCTTCCCATCTTTTGGATGGATTGATGCACTAACTGGTTTGGTTAAAAGACTCAAAGACACTTCACAAGGATTAGATGCTTTCCTTGATGATGTGATTGAAATATATCAAACTTCAAAAGGAAATGATGATCAGCCTGGTAATAAGTGTCTGATTGAAATTCTGCTTCATCTTCAGGAGGAAGGCAAGCTAGAGATTGATATCTCCCAAGACAATCTTAAAGGAATTTTACTGGTCTCTCTCTCTCTCTCTCTCTCGGTGTCCCTCTATGTGTGTGTGTATACCAGTCGTGAATTGGGTGACACGGTGGTGAAATTTTTTAAATCATCTATTAGTAGCAAAGAGAGTTTCATAGTTGCTGAACTAGCAGTAGCAAAGGTTAATCTTCCTAAATCGGTGCTACGGTTAATCTTCCTAAGTCGGTTATGAAATAATACATATAACAAATTGGGTTATAAGTACGATATTTTCATTCCCACTAATATGCCTATTTCTATTAGTATTAGAAAGGCCAAAAAATTGTTGTTACAGGAATCATTTTAAATACTGATATATACCATATCAATCAATATGTATATGGTTCTAGCCATTTTGATACTGATACATCCCAATATATTGCTGGGAATGAAAAAAATCATGTTTATTGATCAATTCTCGATATCTATATCAGTTCATAGCCAATTCCTCTTGTATATGGCGGCCGAAGAGGCTGCCCTGGTTTCTCATTTGGAGTCCTAATAGTTGAATATGTGCTTGCAAACCTCTTGTATTGGTTTGACTGGAAGTACCCAAGTGGTCCAGTTAGAGAAGAGGACTTTGACATGAGTGAGGTTACTTCCCTGGTTGTTCACAAGAAAATTCCTCTTCAACTTGTTCCAGTTTTGCACTCTCCTTCATTCATCACCTAAGTGATCATCCACATATATATATGGTCACATAAAATCAATGTATGTGATAGTTCCTAATTTGTTTCCTCCTAGTATGTTAATTTGTTTTCTGCTGAACTATATAAAGCTTGAAATAAAGGCTATTGTCTTATTATTCAAGTCTCTTGAACCACATAGCTTGATGTGGTGTCAATTGACACCACTAAATTCAGATATACCACTGAAAAAAATATATTATTACTCATATTTTTAAGTAAAATTGACACAAATGATTTACAAAAATTGAACCCATAGTTGAAGTTAGGTTTATTTTTAAGTAAATTTCTCTTTCTTTTGTTTCCTTATTTTTCTGTTGTCAGGAATAGATGGGGAGGGGGAATTCATGATACTATGTTTCACTTATTAACAGCTTGCAAGTAGCTAAATGACTAGAATTGACACGTAAATGAAGAGAAACATATTCATTTTGTAAATTTATTTATTGATTTTTTATTTTTTTACTACGACTCGATCTAGCTACAATCATTGGAAGATAAAAGATAGGATGGTTCTAACTCAGTCATAATTTATAGTGAGCCCTGAAGTTTCAACTGGCTGAAATGTTGGTCTTCAGATAGGATGGTTCTAACTCAATTATATGGATCTATTAATATGAGATCTCTCTGGCAGATTGATCACACAACAAGTCCTTCTATTGCCTTTATTAACAACCTTTTTTTTTTTTTTGCCTTTTTTCTCTTTTAGCGGTGTTACTCTCTAGTTGAACTTTTTATATAGTGCTAGTTTTAATCCTTGTTGTAATAGTGTTTTATTTTTATTGTAGGTGGTATAAAAAATTAGATTATGAATTTCATTTAGAAAGGTTAAAGGTTTTATATGGTCTTGGTTTTTGTATATGCAGGAAGGTTTGTCACCCTTAAACTTTTATATTGAGGATGAATTCCATTGTGCCACTGGTGGTGGAGCTGGAGGTGCCAAATCCATTACCAATTTTGCCCCAGTATAAACATTATTTTTCCATTTGACTGTAAAACAGTTGATTAATTTCTCCGACATCTGAAAATTTCCTTGAAATTTTTCCCTCATAAGCTTGTCTTAACAAATAAACCGTCATACATTGTGTGATAGAACACAAGTAATGCTTATGTTGGAGCTAGCGATTTCATATTATCATAATGTTGAATGAACAAAAAAAAAATGCCACAAGATTATGGCATTCTATTTTGTTGGCAATTTCCCTGCCCATTGACACACGTTTTAAAAGGTTAGTCTGAGGTAGTCTAGTTTGTAACTCCCATTAATCTGGCTGATTTTTGTTTGTGCAATTGATAATTTTGGATCAAATGAAACGTTTGTAGGGTAAGTAGGATAAGACAGTTAAGGGAATGTGAATTTTACGAATGTGAGTGTTAAAATGAGGGGAAAATGAAACATTGGTTCTTTTTACTTGCTTTTTTACATACTAACACTTTTTTAGAGTAAATTATGTTAATTAATTTGTTTTTCCATTGAGGTTCTTGGACAGATGGAGGCACATGATTATTGATAGAGTGAGGTTGTGGCCTGTGAGGTTGATTTCTGCTATAAATATATTTTTTTCAGTTATATAGTTATTGGGTGTATTGAAGTGTAATGCTTTGTTGTATCATTGTGTTTATTTGCCATATAAATTTCTTTTGCTCTGTTTCATTCTCAATTGTTTGTTCTTTTGTTTTTCTTTGTTTTTCTTTTCCTCGTTTGAAATTTAGATAATTGTTTACTGAAGCCTTCTTCTAATCATTGTATCACAGGAATGTTATTGGGGCTTTTGGATTCGAAAACAGTTTGTTACTCATTAAGTGGAGTTCTTACCAGCTGCAGAAAAAGTAGCTCATTTCAAATGAGTCTTTGATTTGGGTTATTTTTCCCTTTGATTCAAGCAGACCCACTCGATGCTAATTTTTCTTCTTCCACATTTTTCTTATACAAGACAAATCTGGTTTTTTGTTTTGGTAATAATGAATGGTTTATATCTGAGTATTGGATGTTTCTTTTATACAGTTGAAATAATTGGTTTGCATTATCGGCTATGGTGATGACTTTGGCCCTTTTTATTCTGTGTTTTGGGACTTTCTTGATTTCATAAGCAATTTTTGGAT